ATTAGTGTTTGTTCTGAAACAAGGTGTATGCATTACAAAGAACTGTAGATTGTATAAAAGGAACCACACTCAGCCTTTTTGATCGCACACAACATAGATAGATAGATAGATAGATGGAGAGGAAAAGAGAAGAAAGAACACACTTTAATATAAAGTGAGTTGGTAGATACAGATACACTCCCTCTCAGGAGTGTCACTTTTTTTGAAAGTTGAAATATGGTAACCCTATGACAAAACAGGTGTCAAATGCAGACCTGTAAAATAGATCAGATGAATGAATATTGGCCTGTCATGTACACATGCTTTGGGCATGAAACCTACCCGATTTGCAGCTCTTCAAGCAAACAATGGCTCTTATTGACGTGGAAAGACTGTGAGATCAGGCGTTGCATAGCATCAGTGAGATCCAGATATTCTCACTGTGTCTGCCAACAATCCAGGGCAAGAAGCAAATCTCCCCAGTCCTTTAATCTTTTTAGTAACTGCACTTTGAAAACTCAGACTGGTCCTGCATGGAAAGAATTCTGTTTTTTAGAATGGGGCTCTCTGTTGTTCAATGGATAATATGCTGGTTGAAATAATAATCTTGTTCTCCAAAGATTTTCAAGCATTTTACAAATTTAGCTGAGTTCTCCCAATCTACTAGTGCCTGTTTTCACTGCGATACAAAATGACCTATGTCGACAGTGCAGAGTCACGCAACTGAGTTGAAACTAGAACCAGGAAGTCCTGTGTCGCAGTCCCTGCTTTAAAATCTTATTGTTGCAGAGCTGGGACTAGAACACAGGGATCCTCTGACTTCTCATGCTTTGTCTCCCTTCTAGATAATGTTTCTTCCCAGCCCTGAGCCTAGTAACCTGACAGCCTGACTCATTGCCTCCTCTCCCCCATGACTTGACATAGTCCTGGTCCAATATCCTTAGCCTGTGGTCATTCTAGAAGTTTCTGTGTGATTGGGTTGTCTCAGAAAGCAGAGCTGACACACTTTTGACGTGAATAGCCTAGCAGCAGGCACTAAAGCCACCTTGTTTTCTCAGAGCAGGTAGGCAGGCTGGTTCCAGTTCATTAAGAACAGATGCCACACTGTTTGTTCTTGAGCTTTACAGGGCCAGGATGGCGAGCTCCAGAAATCCCAGTGATGAAAACTGAAGTTCAGCTGTCCATGATGACACTATCCTGTTGTAATGAAGAAGGGACATGCGAGAGCTGATCTGGAGACGCTAGGGGATGCAAATAGGCACTGTCTACCCAGAAATATCCCATGGATCCAAAATACAGTCCTGTGCCACCTGTTGCCACTGTTCTATAGAATGGGCCAGTCTGAGATATGGTCGGAGGGACTCAGCTATTTCAGAAGGAAGAGCATCTTGACTGTAACCCTCATTTTTTTTTTATGTGGCCTTAAGATGAAACTGTGACGTTTGCTGTACTGATGGTTGGCTACAAGCAGCATTGCAGCCAGGCTCTGCCTTCATGCCTAATTACCTGGGGAGCAGGGATCTAAAATCCCAGCTAATCAGTTAACTGGTTAAACCTTAGATTTACAGGCAGTCCCCGGGTTACGTACAAGATAGGGACTGTAGGTTTGTTCTTAAGTTGAATCTGTATGTAAGTCGGAACTGGCATCCAGATTCAGCCGCTGCTGAAACTGACCAGCGGCTGACTCTGCCTTCATGCCTAATTACCTGGGGAGCAGGGATCTAAAATCCCAGCTAATCAGTTAACTGGTTAAACCTTAGATTTACAGGCAGTCCCCGGGTTACGTACAAGATAGGGACTGTAGGTTTGTTCTTAAGTTGAATCTGTATGTAAGTCGGAACTGGCATCCAGATTCAGCCGCTGCTGAAACTGACCAGCGGCTGACTACAGGAAGCCCGAGGCAGAGTTGCTCTGCCCCAGGCTTCCTGGAATCAGCCGCTGATCAGTTTCAACAGGCTG